TAATTGAAATATTTGTACCGCCAAGTTCATACTTCACAATTTTTGTCTGTGGGTCTCACTTCTCCATAGCCTGAGAAAATAATATATTTAAAACTAAAGTTTTTAAATGCTGCTTGCATTTCTTTTCCAATATCTTATTGCCCCTTACCTTTATCACCTTTCAAAAACTCTTCTATAACATGGGTTGCTATTGGCACTTGGAACTGTTTTTTTTAACTAGTCCCCCCCCATATCACTTAGGCTTAATAAATGAAGCATATTGGAATAATAAATAAATAGAAGATGAATTTAATGAGTTATTTTAACTTTGGAAGACAATTCTCAGAACATGATTTTTTAAAAATCTTAAAAGTTTTTAAAAAAATACAGTCTACTAAGGGAGAATATCTATAGCAAATTGACTTTTAAAAACTAAAAGGAATTGCCAGGGGCTTAGCTCAGTGGCACCACATCTGCCTCAAAATTATCAAGGTCCTGAGTTCAATCTCCAGTATCAGAAAAAAAAAAAAGGAAGAAAGAAAGAAAAAAAGAAAAGAAAAGAAAGTAAATGGAACTATAGTTACTCAAAGGGATACGGAGTGGATTAAAATAAGCATCTAATAAATGGGACACACATGTAAATACCGAATAGTTTCTCTAGTGTAAGAAACTGAAAGTGTAAATAAGGAGAAAAAAAGTATAATAGATAATGTAAAATAGGAAGAAAAGATGCAAAGGGAAAGGAAAGTGGGAGGGGTGGGGGGAAAAGAAAGAAGGGAATGGAATTCATATAAGAAAATGGAAACAAAGATTTTTGTAGACAGGGAGGGGTGGAGGGGTTGAAGAGAGGGCAGGGGAATGGGGAAAAAATAAGAACCAAGATGGATTATGTAAAGGTGCAAACTTCCAACTATGAATGTCATTATATTGTATACCTCAAATGTACCAATAAAATTAATTTTTAAAGAAAAGAAAAAAAAATAAGCATCTAATGAAATTCAAGCCCAACAAGGCCAGTTAACCTGAGTACACCATTTAATATTCTGGGCCTAGCCTTTTGGGCCTGTTTGTAAACTGTAGAAAAACCAGTTCTTAGATGATATCTGGGTCCTTCTGGCCCCTCAATCTGAAAAGAACAACCCCCTCCCTCCTAAAAAAAAAAACAAAACCCAAAACAAAAAACAACAACAACAAAACTGGCTGTACTCCCCAGCTTGCTGACCTAGTAAACTTCATCATTTGGTAAAAGATAGACAAATTCAAGAACTTCCTTAGGACACCTTTGGAAGCAGGGGCTCATCACCTACTGAGAAACGGAACTGAGCCCTCTGCTGTGTTCTCTGTGCCCTCCCCCTGGGGTGCAGGGAAAGGATTGGTGTCATGCTGGTAGATGTTAACACACATGACGCGTCTCGGTAATGAACATGAAGCGACAGAGAACGTTTTAAAGAGCGAGGGCCAAACTGCAACCCACAGCCCTCTTATCAGAAAGGCCAACAGCGCAATTAAGCCTGAATACCAAGGTTTTAATTTAGTGGGGGGGGGGACTTTGCCTTAACATCTGTTTAAAAAAAAAACACACAGTGACGTGCATGCCATAGGTGTGCATACATCTACCACGACTGCCTTAGTGTAAATTCACTTCACTTGTAGGCCAATCAGCCAGAGTGACCTTGAGAGAAAGGTAGGAGAGTCTCTGAGAGAAGAGGGACACTTGGTAAGGTTCCTAAGCACGGGACACATGCTTCCACCAGGAAGGGGGTAGTGGTGGCGGTGAAAGGCTGCTAGGAACCCTCCCTGGGAGCCTGAGGGCAGGATGCTGGATCTAAACCAACAGTTACTGACTGTGAGTGCCCAGAGAACTTCCCAGAGCACTTGCGCCCCCACCCTCCCTTTAACATGGGTTAGCGCCAACACCCGCCCACACAGGGATACGTGAAGTCTCATGTGCTATGCACTTAGCACTTGTTGCTTTAAAAAGTACTAGGAATAGGAAAAGTGGGAAGTGTAGGGGAAAGGTAATAAGGGAAAAGAAAAAATATGAGAAAATGAAAAATGGAAATGAAGTGTTTGCAAATGGGGAGGGGAGGAGGGGGTGAAGGGAGAGCAGGGACAAGGAAAAAAATGAGAACCAAGACCTGTCATGCAAAGGTGCAAGATCCCAATAATGAATGTAACCATACTGTATACCTAAAATGTACCAATAAACGCAATTAAAAAATACTAGGAATCAAAGTTACTTTAAAACAAATGTGTATTTTATGACTTTACTTCCTTTATGAATATTTGAAAAATATTAATATACGTATCAGAAAAAGATGTGATTTTACTTTTGTTTTGTTTTTTTGAAACAAGGTCTCACCATGTTCAAGGCTGGCCTTGAACTCACTATGTACACATGCCAGGCTGGCCTCAAACTCCTGGCAATCCTTCTGTCTCAGTCTCCCAAGTGCTTGGATTATAGGTGTACGCCACCACACCTGGCTGGTATTAGTTCTTTATATTTTATGTTATTCTTTTGTTTTTATTATTTTATTTTATTTTAGTTTGGTTTCGGTTTTTTGAGACAAGGTCTCACTATGTAGTTGAGACTGTCCTAGAACTCACTACTTAGTCCAGGCTGGTCTCAAACTCTCAGCGATCCTCCTGCCTCTGCCTCCAGTGATTTCACTTTAACAAGTAGAGCGGACTGCAGATTTCTTGGACACCAATATGCACAGGGATGATTACAGTGTCCTGTAAATTCTGTGACCTTTATCTGTGGTATAAATCTTCTCAGTCACAGCTTGTTGGAGTGAGTTCCCTCTTTCACAGTCGTCTTTGAGCCACTCCCAGCTTGTGTGAGGAAACTGTAAATAGCTCCCTACTGTCTGCATAATTTGGCTCACACTTTTTAGTGGGGACCAGAACCTTTTCTCGGGTCTCTGTTGTGACCATCAGGCCCCAGGCACATCAGCCTTCCTCGCCCTTTCAGCACTGTAAGCACTTCTGAGCCTGTAGCTTTTTCAGACACCTAACTCTCCCCAGAAGCGCCTCAGGCTCCACCTCACCTGAGCCGGTTACTCCCCTGCGGCTGTCTAGCGTGGGGGTGGACACTGGATTACATTTCTGTGCCCCACTACTACGCCTTCCCTCCTCTGAGGCTGAGCCGCGCTCCTCCCTCGGTACCCTATCGCTTAGGGCCCTGCTTACAGCACAGGGGGCAAAGGAGTACAGCAGTGAGTGACAAAACAATTGCGGAAACGCATCCTGAGACAGAGTCTACTCAAAGACCCAAAGGCCTTTGTAGAATTAATACTACAAGGCCACTTTAAAGCCGGATCACATAAACTATCATTTAAACTAATCTTACAAGGAGAACAAGGCGTGCGTATGCGCATATGTGAACTGCATTATTCTGGGTTTCAGAAGGAGATGTGAAGTTTGCTTTTTCCTTGCTTTCTTTTTTCCCTTTTTTGCTTTCAGATTCCCTTCTTTGTTTTTTTTAACTGGCGTCTTCAGTTTTGCTTGCGGGGGAAGCTCAGGCGTGAGCTCAGCTTGTGGAGCCCGGAAGGCCCAGGCCCCAGGAGTTTTCCCGGAGCCGAGGGACCCTCTGGACCGAGGGGGCCCCCGGCAGCTCTCCCCGGGACCCGTCTTGGGGGCGCAGCTCGGTCCGCGCCACCCCCGGGGTCGCAAGCAGGAGCCTGCACACCGCCGCAGACCTCGGTCCTCAAGTCGTTCTCGGTAAAAATGTAGCGGGCAGTTCCTTTGTTTCTGACTTGA